GTTTTTTCTGAGCACTGGCCTCATTTTCCTCGGTGGTAGACAGACTCTAGTGTTGTGAAGGAAGGCTCTGTGCTTTCATTGTCCCAACCTAGCAAGCCCAGGAGCAATAAATAGTACCTCTTTTCTCTCTAATTGGTCCTGCAAAAATCCCCATAATGGATCCCCCTGGCTTGTATTGAGTCACAGGCCCAACCTTGGACCAATCACTATCTGAAGTCAAGGATATGTGGAGCCAAAATGCTCAGATTAGCTGCGCCTGGACCAAGGGCAGGATGAGAAGTCAGGTCAGCCCTACATGCTCAGGACTGAGGCATTCATTCCCCTGGCTGCTGGGGGTGCTGGCTGCTGTTGTCTCTCAGCTGAGTCCTCTCTGAACTGCACTTAGCAAGAGAGCCACCCAGACCACGGTCACACCTCTCCCAGTAGCAGCCCTTATCCAATGACTGATGTGAGATGTATATATATATATAGAGAGAGAGAGAGAGAGAGAGAGAGAGAGCGCCCAACCCCCTTGCCTCAAGTTAAGACAACACTAAAGGATCATCCCAGCTCCAGAGCTCCTGCTGGGATCATCTGAAGTCTTCATGGCAACTGCATCACAGATCAACTCTTCCCTCTGCCCAATTCCCACTTTCTGCCAACACTCTCCCACAAGTGTTGATCTTAAGGGCACTCCCCAATAAGCTTTTGGCATGAATATCTCCATCTTAGGGTCTGTTTCTCTGGGGAACCCAGACTAAGACACCCACTCAAACAACATTGACTGGGGTGGGTGTCGGGAGGTAGAGGTGGGATGCTTCCCAAAAGGAAAAATCAGGATGCTGTTTATACCNGTCTCCACCGCGAAGCTGCGGCCCCCGGGGCGAGCAGGGGTTGGGCGCGGTGTGGGGACGGAGCAGGCGGGCGGCAAAGACGCAGGCCTGACACAGCGCGGGACTGGGCCTCCCGGTGGCTGCAGCCGGGGGCGAAGTGGGCTGGGGAAACCCGGGACCATGCGAGGACGGTGTCTGCAGGGAGATGCAGGACGGCCGGCAGCATGTCCGTGAAACAGTAACAGGTCCGTACTGGTACCAGTTAGCCTGGGACTATGCCACGGAAACCTCACCAGTTGACTTGGAAGGGTAAGTACGGTGAAGTCCCAGACCCTGACATCTTTGGGAAACATCAACAAAATTACACAGGATTAAACCCAGCTCCTCTCACTCCCATCTCACCATTTAACTATAACCATTGTTACAACCTTCTGCGTTCAATTTTTATGCCTCAAGTTAAGACAACACTAAAGGATCATCCCAGCTCCAGAGCTCCTGCTGGGATCATCTGAAGTCTTCATGGCAACTGCATCACAGATCAACTCTTCCCTCTGCCCAATTCCCACTTTCTGCCAACACTCTCCCACAAGTGTTGATCTTAAGGGCACTCCCCAATAAGCTTTTGGCATGAATATCTCCATCTTAGGGTCTGTTTCTCTGGGGAACCCAGACTAAGACACCCACTCAAACAACATTGACTGGGGTGGGTGTCGAGAGGTAGAGGTGGGATGCTTCCCAAAAGGAAAAATCAGGATGCTGTTTATACCAAAAGGGGGCAAGGGGAATTCTTTAAAAAACAAAAAGCAAACAAAATTGCTCTACAGCTATTATTTTTAATGACTGCATGGTACTTCATTGCATAACTGGATCATAATTTACTTACCTACTACCCTATTACTTAACACCCATGGTGACCACTTAAACATTCAGCTTCATGCATATTTATTATATTTCCTTAGGATGCATTCCTGAAAGTGTAATTGATGGGCCAAAGAATATTAAGTTTTTAAAACTTTTTCCTATCTTATCCTCCAGAAGGTGGTAGCAATTGATTTTCGCACTGCAAGGCTATGAGACTGCCTACTTCTGTGCACCTTCACAACTCTGTATTCTGGTTCTTTAATTTTACCAATTGCTATGGTTTGAATGTGTCCCTTAAATTTTGGGTTAGAAACTTAATCCTCAAAATCATATGCTGATTGGAGGTGAGGCCTTTGGGAGGTAATTAAGATTATATAGGGTCATCAGGATGGGGCCCACATGATGGGACTGGTGGCTTTATAGGAAGAGGAAGAGAAACCTAAGCTAATATGTATGCTGTTGCCCTCCATGTTAACACAGCCAGAAGGCCCTCACCAGATGCTGGTGCCGTGCTCTTGGGCCTCCTACCCTCCAGAACTAAAAGTAATGAATTTCTTTTAGTTTTTTTAATTTTAAAAAAATTATTTTCTTTATAAATTATCCAGTCTGTGGTATTGTTATACTAATAGAAAATGGATAGATGGGGCCGGCCCGGTGGCGCGCTGGATAAGTGCGCCGCTTGGGAAGCGCGGCGGCACTCCCGCCCGAGGGTTCGGATCCCACATGCAGACCGGTTCCCGCTCACTGGCTGAGCGAGGTGCGGGAGCAACACCGAGGGTTGCAATCCCGTTGCCGGTCCCCGGTCCGGTACGGGGGCGACACTGAGGGTTGCGATCCGTTGCCGGACACGGAAAAAAGACAAAAGACAAAAAAAAAAAAAGAAAATGGATAGATGGAAAATGGTATCTCAAGTGTTTTAAATATTTGAAGACTGAACACTTCTATTTATTTTCTGAGCTACATGTTCATGGTCTTTGGGGTGCTAAAGAGTTTTTCTTATCTGGTGACAAGAGCAGACTTGCACATTTGAAAGCCCTTTCTAGTGGCCAGTTTCCTCACCACAAAGAACCTAACACATATTCTAGTAAAGAGATGAAGGTACATGTGGTAAACATTACTAGATTGATGAATAGGACAGAATAGAATGGTTGTGTGTTCAAAAAAAAAGAGATATGGCAAGGAACTCAGAACAATGACACAGACTGGAAGGATTAAGAAAGAAGATGGCTCCTTGTAGATATGGTTAAGACCTGGACCTTGAAAATGTGTCTTGCAGATGGCTCAGAGGAAAAAGAACATTCCAATTTGGAGAGCAGGAGACAATGCACACCTGGGATGAGTAAATATTAAAGAGCTGCTATGGCCAGAAGTCATGAAAAACCTTAAAAAAAATTTTAAGTTTGTGGCAAACAGTGGGATAATCACATGGTAAAACATGTTAGGAATATTAATCTGGGATGAATGTGCAAAATTAACTGAAGTTGGGAAGATGACTGGTTTTGTCTTTTTCGTGGGGGGAGTGGCTGGAATGAGGCCCGAGATAGGACTGAGAGGTAGGAACAGGCAGAGGGGGACATATTCAAAAAACTTAGTCGATAGTACTTCAAGGTAGTTATGAAATGCAAAGGAGAGCAGACAAAGGGTTCTGAAGAGCAGGCCAGAACTGGTGCCAATACCAGAAATTAGGAAAGAAGACTAGGCTTGAGATGAGGAGTAAAGAACAACATTGAGTTTGGCTTAGGAGAAACTGTGTTTTTTTTGTTTTTTTCTTTAAAGATGATTGGTAATGGGATCTGAACCCTTGGCCTCGGTGTTATCAGCACCACACTCTCCCAAGTGAGCCACGGGCCGGCCCTAGGAGAAACTGTCTTCAACAGTGGTACTGCTACCTACATGTCCTCTAGGGCTGTTGCAATGTTTAGTAGCCAAGATGTTAATGTGAGAGACATCCGCACAGCAATGACAGCTGAAGTAATGAGATTTTCTCAAAATAATTTAGAAATAAAGGCTTTGGAGTTGCCCACAGTGAAGAGACACATAACGTAATACTTGTGTGTCAGCCAGGAGGCAGCAGAAAAAGTCTGGGGGTGTGCCGCTTCCCTCCTTCATGCCTGCATCCACCCACCACCCCTGCCCACCTCTGTATTACTGTGCTATTCTTTTTTTATTTTAGTAATATATTCTATTTAACCCAATACATACAAATTATCATTTCAACATAAAATCAACATTAAACATTATTAATGAGATATTTTGCATTCTTTCTTCATATTAAGTCTTTGAAATGAGGAGCATATTTGATCCTTACGGCACATCTCAATTTGGACCAGGCATATTTCAAATGCTGTTACCACATGTAACTCTTGGCTACTGTAGTGGCACAGCTCTGAACAGTTTGCCTCAGCCCCACTCCCTGCAGCCCAGACCAGTTTTGTCCAACTCTAGCTTCAAAGGAGCAATCGCAAGATAATTACTCGCTTTCTGTGAATCATGACTTTCTAGGGTCTCTTGTCCTATCCCAGAAATGCTGGCATGGCAGAGCAGATAGCCAGGGAAGAAAAATCATTATTCTGACTGAAGGATGTGACTCAGAAGAAAAAATCTCTCACAGTAATAAACGTTCTAAATCCTGACTAATTCTAACACTCCTGATTTGTAATTTTTGATGAATTAGCTATAGTATGTCCTCTTACTTTCCTTATCATGAGGGAAAAAATACAGACAATCAGAAATTTCTTTGAAAATTTTAAAAGAGGGGTGAATACCTACATTTCTTTTTGTACTTATGTTCTTAGATGATAAATACCACTCTGTGTTAACTATATGATAATGCATTCACTAAGACAGGGATTGTTGACTCTACAGACAATCATAGCACCTGAAAGGCATTTATCTATGGTTGAGTTGGGCATTTGAGGTTTGACACATAGCTACCTATAATTCAGCTCTGTACCTTCTCCACAAATAAAAAAGAATGGCTGCACAAAACACTTTCATCTAAAGTTTACAAAAATATAAATAATATAGAAGCTGCAGAAGGACCCTACTAATAACCTGATCAAACTCCTCCCCAATTTTATAATTGAGGCAACTGAAGCCCTAACTCACAGTTTAAATAACTGGCCTCAGGTCTCTGGCTAGATTAGCAAGGACAGAACTCTGCCCTCCTGCCTCTTTGCATCCGTCACATATTTACACTGAGCTCTCAGGACTAGCTTGCTTTAGGTAGAAGCAGATTCTGCATGTCTACTATGCTACACTAACCTTTTAAAATCATAATACAAAAGTGATATGTTGATCTTTAAAATGTCATACCAACAAACATGATAAATTGCAACCATTTTATTAATATGAAGCAATGGGATAAATCCTTTAACAGGAATATTGATTCACTACCATGAATGTGTATCCATACTTTGGTGCAGTATCATGCTTGATTCAGTCAAATTATGTATCATTTACTTTCATTTCCACAGGTATAAAAATATTTGTTTCATTGGTTGATAGAACAGCACACAGCCATGAACCTCTTCTTTTGGTTTAAATGCATGTAAATGCTATCATATACAATGGATTTTTCACTGCTCAAGGACTTCAGAATATATGAACAACTTTTCGGTATACCACTTCTGCCCTGCCATTTTTTTAAAACTGGAGAGAGAAAGAAAAAGAAAAAAAAGAGCAATGTTGTACAAAACACCTTTTTACAAGGTCCTTTCTGGAGAAATGTTTGAGAATACAGTTATAGTCCTATAATGAGACTGTAATCAATATCATCCTACAAGGACATGAGGGTAGACTCACTCTCGTGGAGAGTTTCTGATCTTATGAGAATATTATAATGAGATTATAATGACTGGGGGAGAAATATTATAAAGACATTCTACTCTCCTAGAGAGGTTATTTTCAACATAATTCAATCCTGTAATGACCATAATGAAGACAACATGATAGTTGAATCATTCTGCTGGAGAAATTTGTGTCTAGAAAGACACTCACAATAATGTAATTAAATTCTATTATAATTTTTTGTTTTGTGAAAACATAGAGGCCATGAAAGCAGAAAAATGTAGCTCTATAACAAAGAATAAGGAAACACTCTTGAAGAATAAACACTTAACACAAAAAAAATTTTAAATGATTTCTAATAAATTTTCATGTCAAATCTTTTAACCAAACATATAAAATTTTTAAATGGCAACTAATAAATCTTCACATCAAATCTTTTAACAAATCCACAAATAGAGTATAAAAACTGAACAATCATAAATGTCTTATGTATAAAGTTTTAAGGGAAAGTTTAAATTTCTACATTCTGTTTAAAATTCTTGAGGAATTTTAGTTGCTGCTGAGGAGCAGTTGATACTTTCTAAAATAATTCAGTTTATGAAAATAATATCACAATTAGGGTTTGGCATAGTAGCATTCCATCAGCCTTCAGTCATCCACAAATGTTAACCGTCCAGGCCCTTCATTCTTCATCCATCTCCTGTATCTCTTCCACCTGGGGTCATTTGCCAGTTTCTTCTTTAATTCTTCCTCTTGTTCTTGTTTGTAGACCTGTAAGTACAAATAACACTAATAACTTTACAACCCAAAGAGAAACATTTGCCATTAGCTTTACAGCATATTTTACATCTTCAAATATAACTTTAGCTATAAGTTTCCAATGAATATATTGGTTTGTCTTCTGAAGACCATTCACCTATTTAAATACTAAGCAATTAAAGCACTTTAACATTCACTGTTAAATGAAAAAGAACGTGTACAAGAACTAGCACTTAGCAACAAATTGGTAAATGGCCACAAAAAATGATTACATTGTGTAATGTTGAATACACTAATTATCGTGATTTGAGCATCACATACTGCACACAGGTATTGATATTCAATGCAGTACTCCACAGATATGTACAATTAATTATGTTCAATAAAAAATAAAATAATAAAAAAAGAGCTAGCAATTTTTTGCCACTGATTTCTGTAACCTAGGACTACATTCTTTTCCTCATTGAAATCCTAGACAAGCTGAGTTTAAAGGGCTTAAGATTTCCTCTCTCCAATAGTTAAAGAATCAATACTTTATTTTTTTTAACATGGTAGTTTGTAAATTTAACTGATAACTTACATATTTGTTGATCTTATCCAAGGAACAAAATGACATTACGAATACGTGTATCTCCAAATTGAACTTACATCTACTTGAGGCTGGGGGGGTGGGAGGGTGCTGGCCGGTACAGGAATCCGAACCCTTGACCTTGGTGTTATAACACCATGCTCTTACCAACTGAGCTAACTGGCCAGCCCAAACATATCTACTTTTACCTTCAAAAATATTATCAGTTTTTCCAAGTATTTTATTAAAATTCCCCAAGAAGTTTGAATAAACCACACAGGTTAAGAACAAAGAACATCTACATTTCTATAACTTTTAGTGGATGTCAACTGAAGCTAAATGGACAAGTTGTCATAGCCAGTTTCACAGCCACATCAAATTTTAGAAAAAAATGACTTTATTTCCAAATATTAGGAAGTAATGACTAAAATAATTTCATATAATAACATAATAATTCAGCCAAGGATAGCAGTCTAAGAAAGACAGTTTTGTGGATTAAGCTGCTTAACCTACCTAAAAGAGAGAACTTTTCAAATAGTTTAGGAGCTAAATAGTATGTTACCTTCCATTTTCATGTTATTTATAAACAGGCTGAATATATCTACTTGTGAAAACATCTGGTAATTTGCAGCAAGTTAATTTACTTTATAATTAAGACTAAAACTATACAGTAAAATCTATTTAGGATATCACATATAAAAAGGGATGACTATGAAATTTTTAAAAAACTAATACATCTCAGATTTCTTAAGAAGGCTTCATTGTGCTCTATTCTTATATTTAATATATTAACTAGTTAATTTTACCCATAACCTAAAACAGTATCATTACAATAATGGGACTTCTAGTCCCTTTAGCACTGTGGCTAGGTAGCTGATCACCTCCAAGTAATTTTGTAGCTGACAACTGTAGAATAAAGCATTTATTAAAATGCCTAAAGTTTGGAGACATTATAATAAATCAATTTAGTTTAAAAGTAAAATGAAAGTAACTTTCCATATATGTTAGTTATTATGTAAAAGATTCTGTGTTCAATTATTTTGAAATGAAGTTATTTCAACAAAATTTCCTTCTCTTCTTCTCTCTTTCTCTCTCTCTGTTGTTTTTTGTTTTTTAAAATCCCTGTGGCTACGTTTACTTGATTGGAAGGAAACTCGGAGAGGACCAAATTTTAGTTAGTGCAATTAACAGAAAGTTGTGTAATAATACCCTTGTAAACTGCAGTTTAACACTTTTTCAGAGTTGACAAGTATTTGAATTTCATTTTTTAAAAAGACAAATTACAGGTTAAAAACCCACCGTCCCACTACCAAATATAGTCATACTTTCAATAAAAGATCTTTTATTCATTAACTCTTGGATTTCAGAAATTTGAGCATATTTCTGTGACTCTTTATCATATACCTAATTTTGCTTTAGTAAGGAAGATGACACTGAAATCACAGCAGTGACTTCTCACCTCATAATTCTCCTTTATCCAGAGCTCTCGTTTAAGAAAAGTTTCTTTCTGATGATCTTCTAGACTATCAAATTGAGACTTCGACATCTTCATAGATTTACGTATGATATATAGTCTCTCTTCCTCCCCATATTCTTTGCCTTTGATGTTAAAATTATAGATCCACCGGCAATACCAGACTATATATGTGCACAGATGAAAAGGAGCTAAGATAATTTGAAACAGGAGAAGATCACGTATTTGGGGTTTCTGATAGCCTCCTTTTATATCTATTTTACTTTTTATAATGTTCTTTATGATGTTCTCCTCCTCGTCACGAATTTCCTCTTTGGACTTTTTGTTTCTGCCTTTTTCTTTGGCTTTTTTGAGCAGTCCCTGCTGCTTGGCGATCTCCGTAGCTTGGATGCGGTACTTGGGCACAGTGGCTAGGTAGCTGATTACCTTATCATAGCTATTCCACCAGCTAAAAAACTAGGATTTAACAAAGAAAAATGGATCATTTTAATTACCAAAATTCATCTAAACTAAAGCAATAATAGCATCTTAGTGAATACGATCCCCCAAGAAACCTATTCCAATTTAAAATAGTAATCTCAAAGATCTTACTCTGTAAGCAAAAGATACAATTGAACATGCTCATGTGTGCATGAGACCTGAAAGCTGGATAAGTAAACTCTGAGCAGAGCCAAAAAGACACTGATGGAGGCAAGAGACACCTAAGATCAGAAGATGGACCAGTGGTACCAAATGACACTTATGATTTCACACCTTTAATCATCTACCTCGTCTCTAGGACACTATTAAGAATCTCTCTCTCTCTTTTTTTTTTTTCAGCTACAATCTAGTTACTAGAGAAAGTTAAATGGTAAGAACTAGCTAGTGAGGAATTTGTTTAAAAAATTCGAGTATAGACTGTATATACTCGTACATTAACAGGTTATATATATTCATTCCTATCTCTTTCCTAGACAATCTACACTGTTTATCCTATGCTCATCCGATTCTGAACTGAAAGATGCAAATATGTTTGAATTCTACTCACTTGGACAGGGAAACATTAACTTACTTCATAAATATACTCAACCATAAAGGGTTTTATTGTCTGAAAAAGACTGTTCCTGACATAGTACCTCCATACATTTCAGTTCCTTTTTACTGAATGAATATAATATTCATACCAATAATATCCTAAAATAATATAGTAGCACTCTACTAGGAATAATTTGTTTTTAAGTTACAAAGGTATTATATTATCTAAAACAAAAAATTAAAATTATCCCTGCTCTCCCCTTTGAAAGGGCAATACTTCCACAAAAGCTGATAAATTTAAAACATACCAACTTAGTCTTCAATAGGAATTTTTTTAGCATATAAATTGAATATTTCTTGGAATTAAACTGGAGAAGTAATTTTCAAATTAGCAAACTGCATCATTCTAGTCACTGTGACGTGTTCTTTTCCTCTAAAGAAGCACATGAAAGGTGTGGTTAATTTAAGAATAATTATAGGGAATACTCGTTTCAGGCTGAAGTTAAATTTTTGTGACATTTTAAAGCAACATAAAAGTTACTGAATTAGCAAACTGCATCATTCTAGTCACTGTGACGTGTTCTTTTCCTCTAAAGAAGCACATGAAAAGTGTGGTTAATTTAAGAATAATTATAGGGAATACTCGTTTCAGGCTGAAGTTAAATTTTTGTGACATTTTAAAGCAACATAAAAGTTACTGAACCTCTTTTTCAACCCGAGCAGAAGTACCCTTAGGGGCCATGTGGAAACACATGGGACATTTTCGGTTGCTATAATGATGGCAAGCACTACTGGCATTTGGTGGGTGGGAGCCAGGACTTGTTAGGCCACATTAAGGAGTTCAGATTTTCCCCAAGTTTAATGGGAAATCATTGAAAAGTTCTAAAAAGGTAAATGTTAGGATTTAGATGACATTCTGACTCTGGCTGTTTTGTGGAAAATACTCTAGAGGAGGCAATGAGATATGGGTATTTGTAGGTTTGTTTGGTTTTTTGTGGGGAGGGGGGTTATGACATTCATCATCAATTTCTTACATTTCCCACTGACAAAAATTCCCAATACTGTCAACTGGTTGAATAAATAAATATTTTTAATAATACATATTTTTCTAGTGTAAAAAATCAATCTCAACTGGAAGTAAAATTTTACAAACAGGAACTTGTAGTTCAATCTTAATGACTAGCATTAGGCAATGTACACTCATGCACATACATGTAGATACACATATCCATCGATACGCACCTGAAACACTGAAATAGCACACACGCTGACCAAAATCACTACCCTAACATCCACTTTAGGAGCTAAGCGCCTGCTGTAGTAGTGGTAGTAATGCCTGTAGTACTCTTCTGGATGATCCAGCATGTAGTCATAATCCTTTCGTGTTTCTTCATCCTGTAAAATGATAAGATATCCAATTTCAAAGGCTATTTCATTACATGGCCTTAGTTTATAATCTAAATCAAATCTAGAATTTTATAATTATGAAAGATTAATCTGAGTAAAAGAAATGAAACTGTCAAAATAAAAAAATTTCCCATTACTCTTCAAAGGAATACATAAATTTGTTTCCAGAATTTTACTATTAGGTATAAAAGCATGATAAAAATGTTTCCCCAAATTCTTGAGTATTGTTAGTCCTCCTGGAAAAATAAAAACTTTAATTACAATTAACCATGCTTTTTTATAGTTACTGCTGTGGTACTAATATAGATGCGACCATGTTCCTATAACTTAAGAGCATGTTGACACCTACTCTCAATGTTTCTCTCTTCTGTATATTCACAATCATACTCCAGCCTTGAGGAGAAAGTTTTCTGTTGAAAGCAATGGTTAAGACAGCAAAAAGTCAATGGAACCAGTCTATGCCTACAAAATGAATTATGCTCATCTCAAAGAAACACTGAGACACCAATGCAGTGTAATGGTCAAAGTCTAGTTTTGAGACCTTGGGTAAAATACTGAGCCTCTCGCAGCCCCACTCTTCTTCATTAGAAAGAAGAGATAATGCCTGCCCTACTATTTGTACATGGTTGTTTGTAATATCAAATTATATACATTATACAAAAACATGTTACAAACATGTAGTACTTTATTATTATAACACACAGTCACAGTCCAGTTCATAAATGAGGTAACATATATATCTTTCTTACCCACACAAACTTGTTGGAAGAATTATAGCACTCTGAAATGCTGCTCTGAATGTTCACAAATAAAACAATTCTCAAAATCTTCTCTAATTCTAATCAATTTCCAACAGGGATAAATGCCAATGTTTCACTGAGCTACACAGATTGATGAGCTATTAAACTAGGTTACAATTTGCCTTTTATCCCGTAGGAAATCTATTTTTCAACTTGTCCCATTTCAAAAAAATGTAAAAGATAAAGACTTAGACCAAAACAAACTCTTTATTCTCTATAAATGAGTGCAATAGAAACCATTACAAAAACAAAAATATTTTTTACCTCAGAGGGTTTCTTTCTAGGATGAATTATTCAACATTCATAAAATTACAGATTCTTAGCTAAAGGCATTTCAAAAGCCAGACCTAGTACCTTGCTACTGCAGACAGATGCTCTGCGGTCTGTTCAGGGCCTCCTTCTGAGTGCTCCAATATGTAGTTTCTCAGATTTAAAATAAGTTTGCTGATGACAAAACCTTCCTGTATCCATTATAATCATTATGTGCTTTCTAATAAGAATTTTGAATTTGAGTGAGAGCACTCTCAGTAACAGTTCGCCTACATTCATTACATTCAAAACATTTTTTATTTCTCACTAGTATATAAAACTAGAAAAACTAGTTTAATTAGATATTAAAATATTTAAAGATTATTTCATGGCACTATATGGAGGGCCAATATAAGAACTGCCTGTTATATAAGGAGAGGTGAGCTCAGGTAGGTATGATTTTCAAATTCACTCCTTGTACGTTCTCTTCTGTCAGAGAACAATTTTTTTGTGGCAATAATTGTGATAATTGCCATACATCTCAACTGTCAATCCATTATTCCTTCTTTAAGTCATCATCATATTCCAGAGCTCCTAACCTAGAAAGAGTAAAACTTTTAGAGGTAACACAGATAGTCCTGAAGACTAAAGCCCACATCTCTTGATGTACTTCAAGATATCCTTTAAGAATTTTTCCATTCTCTCTCCATTTTTTGCTTTTTTGAGCTAATTTTATAGAAGAATCCTGTTTTGGCCTGAAATCCTTGACTTTTAACTCAGCCTCCCAATCTTGGCAGATGCCTTTTGAAATGTTATTTCTTCAAACATGATTCTTCTTGCTCCAACTATATTACATGCAGTTTGAAACTAAGTGCCACACTGAGATCAGATACATTCCTAGAATATTCCAGCATCGCTGTCTACACAGAGCCCTTTGCCCAGCCCAGCTGTATGCACTCCTCCTGGTTGAAGAATACAGCAAGATCTTCGAGTGTCACTGAAATCTAGTAGGTGGACATCATGTGTCCAATGGCTATCCTTTCCTTTTTATTCCCTTATCTTAGTGAAGGTCACATTTCATAGAATGCAGACATCATCCCTCTTCAAGGATTTTGCCCAGGTATTTCCTCAGGGTCACCATTTTCTCACTGGTTTCTAGATCTGTGACTTCATCAAGTCTTGAACACCTCTAACAAGATGGTCAACTAATGCTCCAGCTCCAGCAAGTCCAACATCTATACCTTGTATCTGCAAGCAGTGCCTATGCGGTCTATTCGGGGTCCCCTAATGAGCCCTCAACTACCTAATTCTTGAATTAGATCTCAGGGTCAAGGCAAGTCCAACATCTATACCTTGTATCTGCAAGCAGTGCCTATGCGGTCTATTCGGGGTCCCGTAATGAGCCCTCAACTACCTAATTCTTGAATTAGATCTCAGGGTCAATTCAAACTTCTCTTAGGATGACTTTCCTTCCCTTGGGGTCATCATAAATTTATGACCCTGTTTTGGTCATTAATTAGAGTCTAGAAAGTTGGTCACCTCCTTGATATCACATTTATTCAATTGATTTAATCTTCACTCTAAGGCTTACAGCTTTCTCTCCAGAATGAAGAAAATGATCTTTAGGCTTAGGCATGCTATACTTTAGAAAGTATTCAAGGTTGGCACAAATTGGTAAAAGTTAGGAGTTCTCAACAGCCTAGGTCAAAATCCTACTCCTTAGTAATCTACAAAGTTTATAATCAACCTAGTAAGAACATGAGGATACCAGGAATATTAGCAAAGAAAAGACAGAATAAGAAGGGCCATTCTTTCTTTCCAGGACCCAATTAGAGAGCTAAGGTACATTCTTATTTTAACACCATTTTTTTTCCCTTACCCATCTTGGAACTAAAGTAGCTCCACAACTTTTTGTACTTTATCTCCAATGCTTCCCCATGGCCAAAGTTAAAATTTCCTTGGCATGCAGTGAAGCCTCCACAGCTGGCCCAAATTTACCTATCTACCAACATCTCATATCCATAGCAAACATTCAGTTAGCAATTTCTGGAACTTGGTATGTTCTTCCAATACAACATGCTTTTTTCCATACCTATGTCTTTGAACATATAATTCTAACTTGAAGCCCATCCCTTTCTTTCAACCTCATGAGCTCCTATTAATCCTTTAGCACATAAAAGTTACTGCTTCAGATAGAGTGAGACCGTTCTTATTATACTTAGGACCAATTTAGTATAGCACTTATCACATTGTAATCATCAGTTGTTTCTTTTCCTTGAATGAGAGTTCCTAGAAGGTAGGTAGGGTGACTCATTAGTCTCTGTATATCCAAGGCCTAGCACAGTGCCTGGCATTCAATAAATGTCATTTCAAAAATGAGTGAAGTTTTGTATAAGTTTTCCCTCACTATACACATCTATCTCTCCACCCACATAGGTCTCCAACTCACCAGCAAGGCTGGATGTGTGATTATGTCACAAAAACTTAGGCTTGGCAGAAATGACTGCTTGAATTTATAGCTTATAAAAATATGCTAACGTGGCTAAAATAGCTTAAACCTTAAAACATTTTAATATCTTACCTTTCAATAAGGTAGTACTTTTTCTTTCAGCAATTTTGTGGATCTTAAGGTCCCAGAGTCAGGAGATTCCAACTTCTTTCCAAAACCAAAACCTTTATACTTGTTTCTTCCTCCTCTCTGTCCTGAGCCTTGACAAGCAGGGCAATAAGCTCCTTGTTTCTAATCTCTACAGGAATAAATGGTGCTTCTGCTGGTGTCCACTCCACTCCCAATCCTCTTGGGCAAAGCAGGAGGACTGGAACACAACCACCAATATCTAGATCAAAAGTGAACAAGAGGAAACCCACAAGCAAAGAAAGTACTGAATCCTTCCTTCTCTTATGAAAATGATCATCCACCCTCCCCAGAGGCAAAAATATATTACGTTCTTGCCCTTGGAAGAAATAATGAATTGTTTGACCTCAATAAGCATAAATTGCAATAATGATATTGCAGCCAGTTTTACATTAAAAATTATCTATTTCACAGAGTACAGATACCATTTTCTGATGGTAAAGGCCAGGAATCAATAATATGTGAAAATGTAATAATATTTTGCTCATACTTAAAAATATTTATTAATCTTAGTTTTAAAAGAAACACACACACAAATATTCCCTCAAAAAAATAACCATTGTTCCTCCAATTTTTTTCCAGGCTATCATATCATACTAAAGAGGAAGAAAACTAACTGCTATCAGTTTCATTTCTTTTCTTGTTCCCTGCACACCAAACACTAATATAACTATCTTCTCATATGTCTTCTCTTTTCATTCTACATGTAGTCTCAACAACTTCCATGATTTGGAATGTCACCTATATACTAATGACACTTATATCTGTTTTTCCTCCCTCCTCCTATTTTAAACTGTCCTGAACATTTTCTAAATGTAACATAAATATCTCAAATTCAACACGCTCAAAAACCAAGTCTGTTCCTGTTTCAGTTAATAGTATCACCATGTACTTGGTCACCTGAGCTTCTAAAAATTTCAGTCATTTTTGATTCAGCAAATAGCGAAGCAGAGCAATCATTTGTGTTGAACACAAAGGAAAATAAAAAGACAAATAAGACAAGGTCTTGGCCTCAAGAACTCTCACATTTAGAAGAAGAATCTAGCGTGCAAGAAAACTATAATTCAATGTACTAAGGAAAAAAGGACTGACTAACTTGGCCTGGGACCAATGGAAATGGGATGCACAGAAGAGATGAAACGAGAGCTGGATTTTGAAAAGCAGGCAAGGTGTGGTGAAACTTGTTCCAAGCAAAGGAAACAGCAAGCGTTAATTAAGGTACAGAAGCATCAAAGAATACAATGGATTCAGTGAAGTTTAAGCATTGGAAAATTTAGGAAGAAAGGAGTACTGAATGTATCTAAGAAGTTAAGTTTGGATAAAAACTGTAGAGGGTCTTGGGGCCGGCCCAGTGGCGCACTGGATAGTGCGCCGCTTGGGAAGCGCGGCGGCGCTCCCGCCCGAGGGTTCGGATCCCACATACAGACCGGTTCCCGCTCACTGGCTGAGCGAGGCGCGGGAGCAACACCGAGGGTTGCAATCCCGTTGCCGGTCCCCGGTCCAGCACGGGGGTAACCCTGAGGGCTGCGACCCATTGC